TTCAAATTTGGAAATTTATTTTTTCGAAAATTTTTTGTCATTTTTCTGATGTTATGATCAGTACGAATTCAAAAATGCCCAAAACCTGATTTTCAAAACTCCATAACTCAACTTATTTTAATCGGATTTTGAAGTGGCATACCTCTAAATGTTTCTGGAGCAATTCTCTAAAAAACTGCATTCAAATTTGGAAATTTATTTTTTCGAAAATTTTTTGTCATTTTTCTGATGTTATGATACAGTACGAATTAAAAAATGTCCAAAACCTGATTTTCAAAACTCCATAACTCAACTTATCTTAAACGGATTTTGAAGTGGCATACCTCTAAATGTTTCTGGAGCAATTCTCTAAAAAACTGCATTCAAATTTGGAAATTTATTTTTTCGAAAATTTTTTGTCATTTTTCTGATGTTATGATACAGTACGAATTCAAAAATGCCCAAAACCTGATTTTCAAAACTCCATAACTCAACTTATCTTAATCGGATTTTGAAGTGGCATACCTCTAAATGTTTCTGGAGCAATTCTCTAAAAAACTGCATTCAAATTTGGTTATTTATTTTTTCGAAAATTTTTTGTCATTTTTCTGATGTTATGATCAGTACGAATTCAAAAATGCCCAAAACCTGATTTTCAAAACTCCATAACTCAACTTATTTTAATCGGATTTTGAAGTGGCATACCTCTAAATGTTTCTGGAGCAATTCTCTAAAAAACTGCATTCAAATTTGGAAATTTATTTTTTCGAAAATTTTTTGTCATTTTTCTGATGTTATGATCAGTACGAATTCAAAAATGGCCAAAACCTGATTTTCTAAGTTCCATATCTCAACTTATCTTAATCGGATTTTGAAGTGGCATACCTCTAAATGTTTCTGGAGCAATTCTCTAAAGAACTGCATTCAAATTTGGAAATTTATTTTTTCGAAAATTTTTTGTCATTTTTCTGATGTTATGATCAGTACGAATTCAAAAATGCCCAAAACCTGATTTTCAAAACTCCATAACTCAACTTATTTTAATCGGATTTTGAAGTGGCATACCTCTAAATGTTTCTGGAGCAATTCTCTAAAAAACTGCATTCAAATTTGGAAATTTATTTTTTCGAAAATTTTTTGTCATTTTTCTGATGTTATGATACAGTACGAATTAAAAAATGTCCAAAACCTGATTTTCAAAACTCCATAACTCAACTTATCTTAATCGGATTTTGAAGTGGCATACCTCTAAATGTTTCTGGAGCAATTCTCTAAAAAACTGCATTCAAATTTGGAAATTTATTTTTTCGAAAATTTTTTGTCATTTTTCTGATGTTATGATACAGTACGAATTCAAAAATGCCCAAAACCTGATTTTCAAAACTCCATAACTCAACTTATCTTAATCGGATTTTGAAGTGGCATACCTCTAAATGTTTCTGGAGCAATTCTCTAAAAAACTGCATTCAAATTTGGAAATTTATTTTTTCGAAAATTTTTTGTCATTTTTCTGATGTTATGATCAGTACGAATTCAAAAATGCCCAAAACCTGATTTTCAAAACTCCATAACTCAACTTATTTTAATCGGATTTTGAAGTGGCATACCTCTAAATGTTTCTGGAGCAATTCTCTAAAAAACTACATTCAAATTTGGAAATTTATTTTTTCGAAAATTTTTTGTCATTTTTCTGATGTTATGATACAGTACGAATTAAAAAATGTCCAAAACCTGATTTTCAAAACTCCATAACTCAACTTATCTTAATCGGATTTTGAAGTGGCATACCTCTAAATGTTTCTGGAGCAATTCTCTAAAAAACTGCATTCAAATTTGGAAATTTATTTTTTCGAAAATTTTTTGTCATTTTTCTGATGTTTTTCTGATGATAAATTCTCTTCCAGAGGCATCCAAATGTTGCCACGCCCACTCCGACGCCCATAAAACGCTCAAATCTGTCAAGCCCACACTTTTGAAATATGTGGTATATAATCTCTATAGATTTGCAAAAACTTTTTGCCACACTGTTAAAAAAATGTTAAGGTTTTATTAGTTTTCCCCCAATTTCTACCGATATTCCACCAGCTGAGTAACGGGTATCCGATAGTCGGGGAACTCGACTATAGCATTTTATCTTGTTTTTTATTTTTTGGTGCTGTTGCTCTGCATCTGCATCTGAATCTGTATCTTTATCGCAGCAACTCAAGTCCGAAACTCACTCTGACCGTCAGCGGATAGTTAATCTTTGGCTTAATTTAATTAACAACTTCCTGCGGTGAGTGAGGCACGCGATTGGAGGTAGTTTGAGAGCGACTGCCGCCAAAACGGAAACAATTTTCTAATGCCTAGTGAAAAGCAAGCTTACGTTCACGGTTTGCAGCTTCAAATGTCCAACTTACAGTTACAGCCAGTTGCCCAGTGAGCGCGAAAAGAGCGATTGGGCGTTTGCGATAATTAAAGGCAATTATTAGTGCGAGTGCGGACGCCGGGCTGCCAATTAAGCCCAAAACTGGAAAGCCACAGCTCCAGATACAGATACGTTCCCATTCCCATTCGGATTCGTATTCAACTTCAACTTCACTCCTTGGCGACAGTGGCTCTTAGACTGTCGTCGTAGTGCTATCTCGGTCTGCCCGTCTGAGCCTATCTCGCTCGCACAACTCTAGGCCTTGACAGTTGTCGATTTGGTTTTCTTGCTTTTATTTATATTTTTACCCGCACGCAACGTGTTTTTTCCCCTTTTTTTTTGTTTTGACCAAAATCTAATCGCGTTAATTTTGTTCTTTGGGAAATCGAGGTTTTGACAGAACTAAGGCGGTTATGGCCTCGCTAAAACGTATATTACGGGAATAAAACATGTTAATACCATTCAAATTATTACTGTTCCACTATTTCTCTCATTTAAATTTAGATCGTGTATTTTTTCGGGGCACTCACAGTTTTGCATTTACTCAGAGGGAGTGGTAACAAAGATCACAGGTATTTTGTAAGCTTGAAATGTTTATTTCGCAGCAATTCACTATTTTAATGAGTTGAACTATTATGTTTGCCGTGTTTGGAATGGAATGCTGTTTTGTATTGCTTGCTGGATTTTCCATTTATTTAATGCAAATTTCACAAGCAAAATAAACACATTTATAGCTGCTGTGGCTGCTCTGGGCTTTCTATTGTTTTTTCTAGTAATTGTTCGTCTGCTGGCTATTTAACTTTTTTGCCATTATCTTGGCAGTCTTGGCAGTCCGCTCCCCGATTTCGTCCGTCCGTCGGCTTCAACGTTGCGAATCACACTGAGGCTAATGCTCCGCCGGTGCCTCCATCGCCACTCTGGAGTGCACTCACTCTCGCACTTCAGCGTGGATGTAGTGGGGATTGCTCCACGAATTAAAATAAACCGTGGAATCGAAATGCGTTTGATAATTGCTCCAGCGGAAGGGGGAGTGGTGGGGCGGTGGCGGGCGAGCAGGCGAACAGCCGACAGCTGATAAGATAATGCTCCAAATCGATTTGAAGCTAAAATCTGCGAGAGGAGCAGGCATTGGCAGTCAGATAGATAGGAAGCTCCTCCACTTGATTTCGACTTTTCCATTCCCATTACACTTTTATTATATTTCGCTCAATTTGTATTCGTATCTTTGCTGAACACTTTAATTTGCGTCGATAAGATAACTGAAATGTTAGTTTCGCTGAAATAAGTTTCTATACTATACTATATAGTACATATATGTGGTTTCATTTTCATGTATCTTATCTCAGCGGATGTATCTCCACATTATTGATACGAAATGTTGTCTCCCTTAATGCATTAATTTATATCATGTTTTCGTGGGCACTTGTCAATCACTTTTTATTTATTAGGACTTGTCTCAGCCTAACTGTAATAAACCTTTTTTAATGCCGTCTTTGTCCATAATTTTGGCAACTTTTAATTTGCGATTTCGCACAAATCATGTGAGCTCCATCGATAAGATTTGAAATTGACCAGGCTGTGATCTTTTTAATAAGATTTATTTCTGCTTTGACCGACGTCACCGCTTTTCGTTATCTTGAAATCAGTTTCGGCTGCGTCGACTTGATAAATGGGATACGTTTTTTGGGGTTCGTGATCAGGTTCGGATTCGAGATCGGGTTGCGAAAATGCGAAATTTGTCAAAATTAATCAAGGCTGCACAAGATTTCACTCTCAATAAATCAACGCACTGCCCGGTGCGCTGCACTCCGAGGGAAATAAGGGGAAAAGCGCCTGCCCTCGGCTGGAAAATGGCTGTGCGTGCGACAGCTGCAAAATGCAAATGGGACTGCGAAAATGCGCAAACATGTTCAAACACTGACCGGGGAAAAGTGAGAGTGTTGACTGCCAAACACGTTGGCTATTCGCAATATTCCAAAACCTCAGAGACGACATTGATAGGCAGCGACAAATGATGGGAGCACCTCGGCGGGAGATGTGGTATCTGCGCTGCGATTCCCACACCTCCGCACCCACACCCAACTCAATGGCCCAGCTCCAACTCGAATTACACTCCATTACGCTCAGCAAGTTGTCAGCTTGGCATGTTTTACCACCGCTTTTACACGCACAAAAAGTGACCACAAAAATCAGTTGGGAGAAATTTGAAACGCACGCAAGCCGCCAAATCAAATCGGCGGGAGGGGATCGCAATTGGACCACCGACATCGATCGATTTGGCAGGGATCGCACTCATAATCGATCGCGGTCGATAGCTGATGAGGCAAGTCGGGGAAAATAATCTAGAACACTAATCCACTAATTGGTAAACGCGGTGTCCCGCGGAACTTCAGATCAAGCCCTATAAAGAGAAAGTTTGCCCCGCAGACTAAGAAGATTACATTAGCCTCCCCAGGCTGCCGTCGTATTTTTGATTGCACCTAGCTCTAGGCCAATTAATAATAAGTCATCAATCACATTACAGTGCAAAGCGGCACTCTCGTGCTAATGTCTCAATCTCATTAGCAGGAAGTGCTACTTCCTGCTTCCATCATATCAATAAACTAAGACTTACCTTGGCTGGGGAGACGAGCGTGGACGCGGACATGGTGGCATTGCTGGCCTGGGACTTCGAGGACTTGGCCGACTTGGCTGGGGATCGCGGGGGCAAGTGGCAACTGGTCACAGTTTCTGCCGCCCAAACGCTGAAGTTGCAGGTGTCCGCGCGGCTGTACAAACTGCTGCTTATCTGCGGGAGAAGGAAAGCGATGCCGTTTAAAAGCCCAGTTAATGTGTAATTATATTAGTGAACTTAAATGCTACTCGCTGCCAAATGCGGTCGAGAAGACATTGCAACGCTAGTTCAACTTTTAACTTATAAAGCCTTGCTGTCCCTTTCGATTGTTTCGCTTTATTCCGCCTCACGTCGGCCTGGGCTTCTCTTCATTTGCCTTCAATGAAGAAATAAATCACACGTTTCCCGGTTAATTTCGTACTTTCCCATTTCTGACGTGCTCCGCTCAATTTCCCGAGCGGCGGCGATCGATTTTCCTGGACCACGACGTCATGCCATGTCGGTAGTCATCGATCGAGGCTTCAGTCTGCAGTCTGCAGTCTGCCGTTCGCAGCGGCAGGAGTGAGTAGTCGGTGCATGATTCGCTTTCATTAACCCAACTGCTTAATCATCCGCCGAGGTTTTCCATTTATTGAAAACTCTGTGCCCGGCACCCAGGCCCAGGCCCAAAACTAAAACTAAAACTAAAACCAAACCCGATCGCGGTTCCCGTCGCCTCCCCTGCCGTTCGCTCCCCTCGGAGTTGCGGCAAGCAAAACTCTCTTATTGACACAAGTCACAGACATGGCCACTAGACTTGAGCACTTGGCACTTGACTGACTGTGGGAACCTGTCCAAAAGTCGAGAGGACCGAACTGAATCGTCTGGTGCTCCACAAATGACAGCATGCCCAAGAGGATCGACTGCGAGGGTTCTCGAAAAGTTGTGCAAATCGTTGGGCAACGAAGGGTTTCTCTCCTCAGTTTCTATTTCTATTATTTGGTTGATGTCTTCAGGGAAATATAGTTTATAAGTCACACTCGTATAGTAATAATATAGTAATACTAGTCGCCTATCTACTATGAAACCAGATCTGTCATATTTGTGATAGCTTATAATCTAGGGACCACTTACCTGCGGAGATTTGCCGGCGTTCCCATTCGCCAAATCAGCAGCAGCTGCCTCATCGACACCCATCTTGATCTTGGCCAGATCCTCGGCTGCCTCCCCCTCGTTGTTGTTTTGCGGCTGGTGTTGCATGCTGCTGTAGCAATTGTTGTTGCTAATGATGTGTCTGCCGTCGATGGCATTGCCATTGATTTGGAGCTCCATCTGCGACTGCGACTGCGAGTGCGAGTGAATCTGCATCTGTAGCTGGGTGACTCGCGAGGTGGCCGAGGTCTCCGTGAGCCTGCCGTTGGAGTTGGAATTCGAATTTGAATGCGAATTGGAGGAGGAACAGGCGCTGCTGCTGTCGTAGCTGCTGCCGTGCAGTGTTGCAATGGATGTTGCAGTTGCAGTTGCAGTTGCCGTGGCGCTGACCAGAGCCACCTTGTTCTCCTTATCGGAGTCGTCGCTGGGCGGGAGTGGTCCACCCGTGGCCGTGGTCGAGGAGATGGCTGTGGACTGCAGACCGTCCACAATCGCAGTTGCTGCTGCGGCAGTCGGTGCTGCAGTTGCTGCTGTGGCAACTTCCAATGTTGCTGCTGCTGTCGCCGTGTAGAGCCAACCTTCGTCGTCGTCATCCGTTGAGGCATCAGCCGATTTCAGTATCTGTGTGCCACGAAAGCGGCGGACGGAAAGGGAAAGGGAAAAGAGGGGGAAAACGCAATGGAACATTAAAATCCGTAGTAACGAAATTCGCCAGAGGAAAGCCAACTGAAGAAGAAACCGACGATGAAGATGAAGTGGTAGAAAATGAAGTTTAATTAGCGTTACTTGCGCAAAATGGCAAATTGTTGTGCCGGTGCACTGCCAACTGGCAACTTGCAACTTGCAACGCGATGTTGCTGCTGCTGCTGCTTCTGCTGCTGCACATGAGCAACATCTTTGAAACTTCGTTGGGTTGCCGACAACGAACGACGCCTTCTGCCTGACTTTTCTGACTTCTCCAACTGCAGCGACTTCTCTCCTTTGTCTTTCCGCTGGCAATTTATTTCCATTTCGAATGGTGACGACCTCAGCAGTTGTCAAATGTGGGAGGAAGACTGGAGTTTTGAAGGGGAGTGCTGGGGAGTCAATGGAGGCGGAGTCAAGAAGTTGTAGGCAAGTCAGGCCGACAGACAAACAAATTAAGTCTGAATGTTGTCAGCTTAGGAAGTCAAAGTACCAGATCTTGAGGGAATCTTATGTAGGCAAAAGATTCGGCAATAGTGCTTCTCTTCAAAAGCAAACTATTTCACAAATAATTGGAATTTTTGGCTTTCTGCTCCAAATTAATAATAGTGTTTGCACTCGATGGCAAAAAATCATTGCGTTCAATGATTAATGATGCTGTAGTTAATGGTGTTGGGTTAGTGAATAATGAAGACTACCGAATAAAAGAATACAAAAGTTAATTAAGAAATTGTTAGGCATGCCACTATGAATACTTTGAATACACGTTAGCTTACAAAAATGGCGAGCTATGGATGCATGCTAATTGGTTAAGAAGAGAGGGCTCTGGAAGATAGGTAGAAACCATGGTCCAGTGCTGGACGTGACCCCAACACCTCGCGAGTGGAACGAATGCCACCGATGATCGGCTGATATGTCTGACCCGTGACCGAGAGAAATCGCAGAGATCGCAGATATCCGCCACCAGAGAACGGTACTTACGTCGCCTCCAGATGCAGCTCTGCGCCGGTGGATCAGGCTCGGATCATCCTCGCTCTGGAGATCACTGCCCGCCGCGTTCCCCTGCTCGTTGTCCGTGTCCAGGTGCTTGAAGTAGAAGATCGCACAGTTCTTGGACTTGCGATTGGATCGGTTGAACTTGGAGGTGTCATTGTGGTGATGACGCGTCTTGCGCAGCCCCAAAGGCGACTTGTTCAGCTCGTGGCCGAGTCCGTGACCGAGCCCATGGCCGTGACTGGTGTTCCCATGTGAATTGGGCGTGATTACCGCCACGGCAATGTTCTTGCCGTGCGCCTTGTTGGGCAGCATTTTGCTGCCAATATTGTGATTCCGCTGCTGTAGCAACGAGTTGCTGCTGTTGGTGTTGCTGTTGCTGCTCTGGGGCATCTCAATGAGGTTAAGGACCCGTCGGGTGCTGCCCACTGTTGGGGGTAATCCTCTCCTGCTCAGCTGCTGCACCTGCTCGAAGTCACTGCTCTCTGAATCCGCCTCGAAATCCGTCAGGGTGGCTGTTCCACTGGGATTCGGGTGGCTCGCCTGCCTCCACGATCGCTTGGCAATCAGGAAGTCCACCACATCGGTGCCGAGATCAGGATCCTCGTCCTCGTCCTCCTCCTCTAGCTCCTCGTCGGCCTCATCGCCGGGCTGAATGCAAGTCAAGTGTTCGGATGGTTGGATAAGTGTTAAGTGGGTCACACAAAGGGATGTGGGTCGGGTTCTCATGGGATTCACACACTCATCAAACACATGCTCTGCCCTTCAAGTAATGCCAACTGTGGTTTTGTTTGAATATTCGTTTTTGGGATGGGAGTGCAAAATGTAGGATTTTAATACAAATTCTTTGGGTCACAAATTAAGAATTTGCTGTCAATAGGAGTCGGTTTTGGTCAATGGAATAGGGTAAGACGTTTCCCAGGGTATTTTTTATTTGAACCTTGTTGATTGCTTCTTACTGGTTTTTTGATGGTGCCCAAAAATATGAGCATACACCGGAGTTTGCCAGATCATTTGCCAAGACTTCTGTTTTTCCTTTTATGGTTGGTTTCGGATAACGTTTCTCTACGGACTGGGTTCAGGTGGGTTCTTTGGTTAGCTTGAACTGGGGGTTAGGATAGGTCAGGCTGAGAAAGTTGACAATACTAAGGGAGGCAGGGGCATGCAACTAAGCTAGGAACACAACAGAACGACAAGTCAAACAGTAACTACATACATACGACATATGCAAATCATTCAGACGAAAGGGGCATCTACCATCCAACGTGGTATGGCTTACCTTTTGAGGTGCAAGACAATCGCGTGGCTGATCCGCTGACGGCGACTTCGCTTGGGATGGGACTTGCTGTGACCGGGACTGGGACTGGGAGTGGATCTCGTCCAGGCCGCACACAATCTGGGTAGCTGCAATCTGGCAGCGCTGGAGAATGAGTTCCGCGGGGGTGGCCGACTTGGACTCGCTGTTCTCTAGATCGAGATCCGAGTTGACCTCGTTCAGATCGTCCTCGGTGGCCTCGCCCTCGTAGCCAAAGGAGTCGTCTTCGGTGTCCTCCTCTTCGTCCTCGTCGTCATCCAGACCAGTCTGCAAGGAGCGAGAAAATACATCTTAGATTGGGCAGATTCATTGGGGGATTCGGGTGCTTTGGTTCAATGAAGTTGTGAATAGAGGCACCCGTTTTTAATTGGGTTTAGTTTAAACTCGTGTGATCTTGATCTTTCTTGAGCAGCTAGCTGGGAAAATTTGCAGACCAGTCCGGTCTCCTTTTCATTTGCTCTTCCTGTTTCCATCACGTAACACTCTTCCTCCTCCATATGCTGGCTAAAATTATAATTGCTTTCAATTGTCGACACACGAAGCTCTCGCATCGGATCAGCGGGTGGACACGGACAGCAACAGGCTGGCAAACAGACAAACAGACAAATGGACAGAAAAGCAGAGACAGGGAGACAAACTGGCAAACACTTGGCCAGACAGATGTCAGATAAGCTGAGAGGCGAGAAAGAGTTGGTATACCCTCTCCAAATGTTGGGATTCGCCGTGGGCCTTTCCAAACTACAGTTTTCTATAATTTCATCTACAAAAATTATAATAAGCTAGCTTAAGCAATTTGCCAACTCCCATCCTTAAAAGTAGTTCATTGGAAAATTGACCTTTTAACTCTTAGATTTTCCATTTCGAGAATGTAGCTGATAAATATGTTCAGAATTATTCGAGGAAGAGTAATCAAGTCGTCGTATCTCCCAAGTCTCCCCTCTAATTTACCCTTTTCTTTTTCCATGTCCACGCCCACACAAGTGGGTGAGTGAGTGAGCGGTGGGCAGGCGTCTAAAGAGGCCTTGATGGCATTTCAAATATGTTTCGCTTTTCACCAGAACTGCTGGGGAATAGACAAACCGTGGCACAACCTCAAGTGACCTTGGGCCATCCGCGAGTGCTGCCCCTTCGCTTTCCGCGATCTGAACTACACACAGAAATGTTGTCTTAACACTCTGCAAAATAAAACTAACGAAATTCCACAATTAACCCAAGAGACCTCACCCCTGGCGATCAGCAATCAGCTGTGGAATGGCTTTTATGGCCATCAGATGCTTTGGCTGCGCAATTTAGTGTTTTCGCCTTCTCGGATTTGCGTAATTCGCGTTGTTCGGATACAAGTTTCCGACCAAATCCCGTGGAGGCCGCCCGAAGGTCGCCTCAACATCTGAAGAAGCTTGTTCTCCACGGACGAGATCCAGCGATTATGTGGCTAATTGTCCAGATGATTTATGGCCGGGAATTGCTTATGCACCTCTCGCTTGGCGCCATTTGATTGTGTCTGTTTATGGTAAACAGAGGCAGAGGCAGAGGCACTGGGTTATCGAGCAACAAAGAGGTGAAAATGGGATGTGTAAATGGACCAGGCCATTTTAAAGTGTTGTAAATAAACAGGGAAGTAAGAGAAGGCCAGGCAGGCCATCAAAAGAGATGGTGGGTAAACAAATAGCGGGTCAGCCAAAAGTGCACAGCGAATCTACGAATTCAAAGCGTTTGGGAGAGATCAAGAAATGTATAGATACATTTTTATTTCAAAATCATGGGCCATAGAAGCAATCTATCCGTATCAGTTTCATCTGCATCAAAGAGATTTTACTGATCCATCAACGATAGGTTGATAGCCTTTTACTTTTCCCAACCAACTGGATCTGATCTGGTTCGAAGCTTTCTCCAAATTAGCATTTCCAAACACCCGCATTTTGTGATGCAACATTGGATCAGAGAACTAATTTTCTTTTATTTGTGTCTCCCCTGCGTCACGCTTTCATCTGCTTTGCTTGTCCAATCTCTTAATCCAATGAAAAACTAATTAAGGGGAACAACTCCGTTGACAAAACGGTACAAGTTGAGAACCTACATAGCCAACAAGAAATCCCTAAGAAATCTGGCTAGGGAACCGCAGACTACCCACAGTGCTGGATGGTATACACATATTTATGTTCTTATTATGCCAGAGTCGGGACAGGCTGGAAAGAGAATTACAGAACCTGGACACGCCTTCCACTTCCACGCGCCTCCACTTAACTGGAAATAAAGTTCATCTTGACGCACTTCAGCAGAACTCTTATTTTGGAAAAGGGAAAAATGGGAAAGGTGGAGGAACGTGTTGTTCCCATCGCTTAGCACCTTGTTTGCACCCAGATCACACTTGGATTTCCATTCAGATGCGGATCTCAGCAGCTCACGCAACTCCTGGCCATGTCACAATTTTAGAGCGATAAGAAGCGATGTGTCTTGAGTGAAGTGTGGGAAATGATCCTACAATGGCTACTGTGTCTCTATGCTTTCCATTTGAAACTTACGAATTTCTCACACGCCAGCGATTAATTATCGCTAAACGCTGCCATATCGGCGATATCTGGTTATTATATTTTATATGGGAGGGGAGCAGAGGGGCAGGTGTTCATTAGCATGTGCTTGTATGACTGTTATTATCGTGCAATAAAAACGTGAGTTGCATTCGTCTGGCGTTGGCTCATTTTCTATTTGTGCCGGACTTTTCCACGGACATATCAAATGCAAAGAAGCGAGATTGCGGGGTTTCTGTGGAGTTGATCGATGGGTTTTGCCAGAAAGAGGAGTATTAAAGTGCATTTCAGTTTTTAGAGCTATCAAATTTATGGAGAAATGAATAGACCCGGCAGTTTATCAAATAGTTAGTAAACGTTTGACATGTATCCATCCATAAAGTTTAAATTGGTAATGTCGTTTTTAGTATTTATATTTCGCTAGGACAATAATGGGAAATGATTCTATTTTAGAAACACAAACTCGCCATTAACTTGTTAATATACGACTCCCCCTTCATTAGCCCCTCAAATTTTCGGTAAACCCAGCGAAATTTCGCAACAATTACTCAATTCGGCACAAAGCATTCAATGAATTTTAATCCAGCGTTGACAACGGCAACAACACAGCCGGCAAGGCGACTCCGACTCGACTCCGAGTGGAAAAACTCCCAATGGCGCGACAAAATTGCAGACACAAAACACCAACAATAGCAATAACATCGCCATCGGCCGCGTTGACAACCCGCAGCACCGACAACAACAATTGGCCAGCGAGAGCAACATGAGCGGCATGAAAACTCGGAGTCATATGGAAAGCGGGCAACATGCGGCACCAGCCCCTCGTCGTGCACCACCCCCTAAAACAGCAACAACCCACAGCAGCGACAATATTATTACTTTCATTGTTGTTGCTGGTGTTGCTGGGGCACGGCAAACATTTCCTGGTACAGCAGCCACTTGGACGTCTACAATTTAGCTCAACTATTACAAATCGCATTAGAGGCTAAATTTAGCAGGGCAGCGGCAAGCAGCAAGCTGCAAACTGCAAGTTGCAAGCATCCAAGTCGCAGCAACATCTGCAGCAGCAGCAGCGCGCAACTTCGACCAGCCGGCGGCCACAGTTTGCATGTTTCCACTTAGACCCCTGCCAATTCTCGTTCTCGCTGCCTGACCCTAATCTGCGGACAGTGCAACATGTTGCCGCCGCACTCGGGGCTCCATGATGAGCGATGCGGCGTGGGTGCTGCCCACGCCCACCATTCCGCCGTTCCGGCATCCCAGCAAACAGCCCACGCAGGAGATGCTAATGCCCGGTTCCTGGCCACGCAATCGCTCATAATTGCAGGTTGCAGGCGGATTGGCAGTTCCTTAACCTAATGCCATCTAAGGAAGGACAAGATATACAAATCATTGCAATGCCTTTTCGTTACACCTTTAAGGTGTTGCTGACAGAATGGAAATGAAATATTGACAATTGCAGGCGAATTTCATTCAATGCAAAGGCGCGAACGAACAAAAGTCGCGAGTTGACATTTGGCAAATGTCAATTTGAGTAAGGTTGCTGGCAGCACAATAAGCCGCATTTGAAGATGTCGCGGTTGCGCCACACGACACCGCAGCAACATGTTGCTGCTCTCATTTGTTTGGATGCGGCGCTGGGCAACTGGGAATCGGAATCGACTCACTATTGATCCTCGACTTTCCCAGCCAGCAGTCGATTGATATGGGAATGTGGCACGTTGAACCAACAGCTGCTGGCAATTTGCTTTTGTTGATCGTTCATTGTTGTTGTTCTGGCTTTTCTTTATGGCTTTTCCCGGCGCTCATAAATCAGTGGCCCAGAAAGCCAATGTGTGCGATCACAGATCGCAGATCGAAAATCCCCAATCTCATCCGCGATAATGCGCTACTCCTCCGGTGATCCATCAGGCTGGCATAAAATAATGAACCATTTAGGTGGCAGCGATGATTAGTCGGGGCCATTCCGCTGAAAGGAAACCCCCAGGATCATTACGCCGCAATCTGTCATTATCCAAGCCAGAAACTAGAGCGGCTAACGGTTTGGCTTAGTCTGCATTATAAAACCATTTTTAGAGCCACCCAACTTTTTCCTGCGGCCGCTCAGTTTCCCATTACATGTGGCCCAGTTTTTGTGCGGGCCATTAAAGTTTTTTTTTATAATTCACTAAGGAGAATCCGCCTGAAACTAAGATAACGATTTGGAAATATCCAATTGTTTGTCTTCCGCGTTTAATCTCAAATTGTGGGTGTGTCCACGCCTTGTTTCCACAGATTTTACATAATTATTGTGATTTAAAGTCGAGCTGCTTTCCGGGCACGCCGGCAAGCAACCTGCAACCTGCAACCAGCAACTTGCAACTTGCAACTCGCAACATGTGTAAGCAATCATCATGCATAAATTGCAGTTCCGATTCGATTCCGACGTGACTGCCAGCAAAATGGCCGGCCACTCCCCTCCGCCTCCAATTGTCAATTATTATGCGATTTGCATTCACTCATTTTAAAGCCTGGTTTTGTGGTTCACAGCAGAGGGGAACCAAAGAAATTTGCATATTTCGTTTTCAGATATCTTTTCTTTCTTTTTTGGGTGTGGACCTGTGGACTTGCGGACTGGTAGCAAGTTTGGGGATTGATTTATGTCGGTATTTGATTGATGTCTGCTGGTTAGCAAACCACTTTGCCGTGTTGCCGTGTTGTTGCACTGATGATGGCCAATTAAGTATATAAATATTTGATCATACCCCATTGATGGACGCTAATTGGTCGATGGAAACACTGGCCAATTAGTAATATTAGAAAAATGATGACAGTTTCAAGGCCCCAAGAAGTCAACTTGATTTCCGCACAGTCTCCCACTCGACAGACTCGATGGATTCCCAAGATCGTTTCTCTTTCAACCGACAGCTGTTTCCCAGCCTCCCGTGCAACCTTCAACTCGCTGAAAAGCAGCCAAAGGTCTCGTGGTCCCAGTCCACTAAACAAACACAATTTCCCAAGAATAAACAACACAATCCAAGGGAAAACGAGGAGGTTCGGGCGAGATATAATAACAATAATAGCAACCATAATGCGGCATAATTCAATGCAATTCAACTGCATTTGTTTATTGAACTTCTTCTGGCTGCCACTTGCAACATGTTGCCAGAGACCAAGTGTGGGAAACAAAGCGACGCCGTGGAAAAGATGCAACAAAGGAAAACATCTCGGAAAATACATAAATTCAAGCGTGTAAGAAAGAGAGTTGCGGAGCGCAGAACATGCTTTATCATCACTTTTCACCTATTAGGCATAAGTAGATTACGTAGATTTAAATTGAAACACTAACCTTTTATCAACACAAATAGTGGTATCAAAAAATTGGTAAGGGTATCAGGAAATCGGCCAAGCAAGCCATCCTTTCTTCTTGGTTTCTTGTGTGTTTTCAACAGTTCAGGCACGTCGTAGATTTGATTTGGTTTATTTCCATTTGCCCTGCTCAGCTCATTTCGGTCACTTTCATTTGGTTTCGGCGCTGATTTTCGAGCTGATTTCGGAGTTTACCGTCTTGCCGATGACTTTTCTGAACTCTGCAGTTGGGGGCGCATAAATTTCACTTTTACTTTTCGCAGTTTCTGATTTTTATATTGCTTAGATACAACTATAAATGCATTTCTTTATGGCAGCTACTTAGGTTTAACCCCACTGATGAAGCAGCGGGCAAGTAGTTAGGGTGCAAGCCGTGAGTTTATTACGGCATTTGCTAAATGGGGGCACCGAGCGAAACAATTTTCGATTAGTACCGCAGCGGGGTTTTAGCCCACCCTATGCAGATCGCATTTTCTCTGAGTGCAAGCACTTGTGACATTTCGCTAGTCGTTTTCATGGCATCGCCTTCGTTTGAAGTCCAGCCACGGCCCGAATGGCCCAGCTAATCTCCTTTGACCAGAAATTGGATGCATGGCAAATGTGGAGCAGCGAAGTGCCCCGCGGCCAAAACGAGCTGAATGTGGCCAGGAAAGTGTTGAAAATTGCCAACTGGATCGGCCCACATAGAGATTGGCCACGGTCGGATCCCGGGGGGATGCAAATTATTGCATCAGCGAGGCAGTGGAAAATGAAATTGTTTGTGCAGCAACGAGCAAAATCTAAAAATCTAGGAGGTGCACCGCGGAAGGGGTGGATAAAAGTCCGCTCGAGGCGCACTCAAATGAAGCGGTTCGCAAGCCAAAAAAAGAAGAAAACAGAAAAAAAGGCTAACTGCCCCACAGCCGCAGGTCTGACGATAGGCGCGGGAAGAAAGCCCAGAAGACTATGTGTGGGTCAGAAGACGCCTCTGCCAGTGCGTGTCTTGAATGAATTATTTGTGCCACTAAGCCCGGCACGAGACCAGAGCATTTGGCGCTTCCTACTCGGCAAATTACCCACAATTAAGAGGGGTGCATGAAAAACGCTCTCCACTTACCCGGCAAAAAGAGGGGCAGAGAACTTTAACCAGGAAGTTAGGAAAGCTTAGAGCTGCGAGGAGGATCCAACCATCCATCCATCCACACCCGTTGCTGGCAGGAAACTAGGCCAGCGTGTCTATGAGGCGAAATTGACTTTCACTGCATCTAGACACGAAACGGATGCCACAAGAGGAACAGAACAGATCGGCGAACTAGAAGGGGAATGCAATTGCGCAGATGGCGAGGGGAAAAGGAAGTGCTCATCGGCTGGGGGATCTGGGAGCCAAGTCGGCTAGGCTATGTGACTTCGAACACTCTTTCGTAATGGAACATTCTTCACTTTCAGTTCTTTCACCTTCCCATCGAACAGGAACCAAGCGGACACACCTTTATAAGACACCAACACACCATCTTTCATCTTTCTCGCTAGTTCGCCTCACTATTCAATCGCAATGCTGTGCACTTCAGCGCTTTCCCAATACATTTTTTGTCGCATTGCCGGCATTTTCACTAAATGAATTAATTAAATCGCTCGCAGCCGAGTTATACTAAAACGTAATTAGAAATTTCCACAATTGGCACTGCGAGGCGATGAACGGCAAGCGAACCAGCAGGGAAAGCGGCGCCAAATGCATTTTCTTTCTTTCCAAGAATCCCTGGCATCTCGCATGCATTTCCCTTGCCGGCTGGGAGTTTCTTTTTCTTTTTTTTTTAGCCAAGATAATCCGAAGTGACAAAAGTCGCTGGCAGACCAAGGGCACCAAGGTTATTTTCGGAAAATCCCTAATCGATTCAAGTTCATGTGGCTGAGCCATAAATTAGTGCGATATACGTTGGTTGTGTACGATACTTGGTATTTCAAGAATGCATAATTTATGCTCTTACTTTAAACTTAAAAAGCCAGGGGAAAATATTGACTATCAAGACAGAGGAATCAAGGGCTAGGAATCAATGTACTGAGAAGGTGAGTTTTGGAAACTTACCGCTGTGGAACTGCGCTTGCTGAGCAGATTATCCAGGCACAACTGCAGCTCGAACGCCTTCAGATACAAGAGATGGTAGCGATCCCTAAGTCGCTCCAAGTTACCCTCCCCCTTCTTGGACGGGTGGGTGCCACTTGGAGGCGGGGCAGCTGCTGCGGTTCCTATTCCTATGGGTGTGGCCAGCGGATCGGAGGCGAAACCACTGCTCAGGCTGCTCGACTTTGTGGCCGATTCGCTGGTTGACTCACTGGAGCAGTTGCTGGTCAATGAGGCGGGTTGCTGACTCGACAGTTGCTGCTGCTGCTGTTGCTGCTGCTGTTGGAGTTGCTGCTCCTTTTTGGCGGCCTGAATGCAAGAGCTCACCACTCGAGCGTGTGATGCAATTTCATGGTACAACACCTGGAATCAAAAAGAGAGCGCACAGAAAGGGAAATTAAAAAGGTGCTCGTTGGGTTCAACTTATGTGGCTAACATGACGTATACTTGATATGCCCAGGCTGCTAATTGATTAGGCAAACAATGCCCGAAAGGGAAGGGTTTGAGGTGAAAGGGTGGAGTTGCGGCAAGAGAAAGGCTTGTCCGCAAAGGATATTGTTACAAAGTGTTGCGAACCACATTAAAGTTATGTTGGAAATAAGCGTTGCTGTACAATGCATGAATGGCTTTATTTCTCAGTTGCATTGCCCAATTGAAAAGCTAAATGTCCGCTAACCGTCGTATTATTAAAATCAATTAGCAAATCAACTTTGCTTAACCCCTTTAAATGTAAAATGGTCTTTCCGTTAAGCCGAAACTTTAATGCCGCATTATCTGCAAGATTTGCAATTCCTGCAACAGCGTTTACCGCCCATCTGCAGCGATATGGCATCGCTCATTTGTCATTTTAACAGCTGCCGGGCCTTGACTTTATCCCCATCAGCCCCATCCGCATCCAGCGGATCCACCTCCAGGCAAAGGTCAAGCTGGAAAAGTCCCACGCATTGCATAAGCTCTGCCATTGTTCCATGATTAATCACACAGAAAGGGGGAGAAGAAAGATTTTCCGCACAGAGCGATATTCAATTTATCAAACATCAAGAAAATAATTACAAGACAATTGACGCCAAGGGGTCAGAAGGGGAAAGGTGGGCGTGACACCCAGTGACACCCACACATGCGAGCCATGGAAACTCCCAAGCGGGCTTCCACAATCTGGACATTGATCTCCATACAAACAGTTTAACCCGGCGAACTCTTGCATCACCGCCGACCAAATGCGAAAAATCAACAAAAGGTGCGCAAAGTTGAAATTAGAAATCGATAAGTTGGGGGAAAAGCAGGCACTTTTGGAGCCAACCTCTTCACCCCAAAGTGTTCAGAGTGTCCAAAGCACGGACATTTATTTATGGCCCCGGACACATCCTTACTCAAATCGCCAAGAGCCTGGAGCCCACAGCCCCTCGATCGAACCCAAACGAAGCCCAATGCAAACATACATTTTCATTTTCACCTGCTTGAGCTTGAGATCTTCATTGAACTCCAAATCGTTGACTCCCTTTCGGCACTGGCAAATTGAAATGTCACACAGATTGGGGTTCACTTCGAGAAATGGCAAATTTATGAAAATGATTTTCTTGGACAGACAGACAGCTTCCCCTTCCCTGCTCCTGCTCTTGATTTACCTTCAGTAATGGCCAAATTGACACTCAAAGGCAGCTGCCACAAAACCTCTCGCAAAGTCACCTCTTGCAACTCCACTGTGCCATTTTCTGCTTGAAGAATGATCCGAGAAAGCGACGGCGCTGCGAGAAAGATTTATGGGGAAGCCTTGGCAAATCTTCCCCCTCCCTTGGAGACGGGGAAAAGCGGGAAAGTTTTGACAGGCTGCCTGGGATTTTTCTCCTTTTTTCGGTGGGTTACTTTTACCGCCATCGTATATTTCTGTGCAGTAAAATTAATTATATTGGGGGAACTTAATAATTTATTTAATAACTTATTCGAGTTGAAGGCTGCACAAGGAGTTTGGCAAATTTTAAAAGCATTTTTCAAACGCCATTTTGGGACTTGGCCAAGCCAAGCAATTTTCTGCATCAAATTGTTTTGCATTATGATTTTATCATTATAGCTAATTACAAGACTGCAGAAACAAAAGAATTCTGATCGGCACAGCGACTCGGCTCATTTTCAGAGGCTTGGCCTCCTTGGTTAGCTAAATAGGTAAATAAACTTAACCAGCTTAGCCAAGTCGAGTCATCGGAGAAGAGCGCCTCTGGCACAGAACCAACTTTGCAAATAGATGGGAAGTAAGCCCTCTTCGCAGGCGGAGTGGGAGTGCAGACGCAAAAGCGAGGAGGATCAGGAGAGGCAGGTGTGGGCTGCTTATTTGCGATACTTGAGGCTCATTACCAGAACTGAAGACCACAGACCGAAGAACCGAAGCTCCGCAGCCCAGACCAAGACCCAACCCTAGCAGCCAGCCAAAACCACAACATTGTGTCTTTTTTGGAGGAACGCCTTTCTCTTTGTCTTCGGTCTCGGCTCCACTACAACCGAAAGCCAAGCGATCCGGGCCCAAACTGAGGTGAACCACTCCCAATCTTGGCACGACTCCGAGGTCTGGGCAGTGCCTCAATGCATTTGCCGCCACCCACCCACTTGGGGAGCGCTGGAAATATGAGAATTTAGAATGCAGAACTTTATGCAAAGTTCGTGACTAATCTCCGCCGGCTGAACTTGAGGAGCAGCCGTCTTTTTATTATTTTTATTATTTTCTGCGCGCCAGCCTCTCGAGAGGTCTCAAGATTATTGGCGAGCGTAGGAAATAATAAAAGAAATCAGGGAAAACAAATTGAAGTCAGTGCGAAGTTCTCTAGATTGAAATCTGATGCAAAAAACAAAAAAAATAAAACAGCACGAGCGAATGGCAAGAAAAGTGAATGTGTTGGGGTGTGAAAGTGCTGGAAAAAACACTCCATTTCAGAGCATGAATTGACAGAAATTGCGGCTTAAACAAGAGCTTTAAATAGGTTCTGGGAACTGGGAACTGAGAATGAAGCCGAAACGAAAGGATATTGATTTTGCAGGCACCAAAAAGATTGCCAGTTTTGAAACCAATTTTTTAAAGATTAATTTCCATATTTGTATTTCCTTCACAATTTAAAATCTTTCCATAATTAATACCCTCGTTGATAGATTGCATTCCTCTTAACGCATTAAAAAATTAGTTTTCCCCTTGACTTTTTATTGCCAGCTGGCTAATTGTTTTTCTGGGCCGAATCTGCCCATTTTTCTCTACTTAGTCACGCGAATTGCAACACATTTTTAGGCACTATTGGAATTCACAGTGTCTTCCAAAAGTCTGCCTACCAAATCACATTTTCCCTGCTTTTCCTCGCGCTGCTCACACATGCGAAATGTTCATCGCCCCGCGGAATCGGTCAGCATAAGTTCCTCTAATGCGTTGGCTATTTTTGTATTTTTACCAGCCGCAACTCAATAGAAACTGTGTGCTGGGCGCGTCGCGTATCTGTATCTCTATCTATATCTCTGTATCTCGGATGTCTGCGGCCGAGGTTCGTTGACTCAGCGAGACTGTTGTTGTAACTCGGCGTGGTTGAGAATGACCAAAGAATTGAGCAATCGGCTTTCGGCTTTGGGCTGTGTGTATAAAAAAGCCAAAAGCAACAATGGCCCACCGAATCGTACATTCATTATCGGAAATGTCAGTGCGTGACCTCGACCGCGTTTTTAGAATTTTACAATTTGGGCTTACATTATATTGGCTTGCTGTCCCAGGCAACGCCTTCAGATTCGCCAGAGGTTGATTATGAATAGAATCTTAAAGAATTCTATAAATTAACAAAAGACATTATTTAGTGTCGGCAACTGGGCAACTGTGGCGATTAAAGGCTTGAAAGGCGTGTCGAAAACGTGGGTATGTCATTTGCCCAAAGATTATGAATGAATAAATAGCTGTAAGGGCCAGTTCTTCAACTAAAACTCGCCTTCAAACACTTTTGAAAGCCTATCAAATTGGCATAAATCTCTTCCCAGAAGAAATCAAATTTATAGCCAATTTTTTCGAAGCAGGAACACGACAACAACCCAAATTCCACCCAGAAATGTCTTATAGAGAACATTTCCAAGATGTCACATAAATTGGGAACGCACGAACAAAAAATAAATTCTCTGTTTGTACGTTTTCTATTCGCTTCCTTTTTCTTTTTGCAAACATTTTTATGTGAAGTAGTCACGACATTTGGAACACTTCCAAATCGGCCTAAAAATAGAGTTCAACGAAATAGAATTAGACGAAAATCAGGCAGCGACTCTAATTACCCAAGAAAATCTGGGAGCTAGAAGGGGAGAGAGAGCGTTGATAAACACAAACGGAAAGGAGGAGGAGACAAACAAATTGACAAAGTCCGGGAAAAGCAGATGAAGATGAAGATGCTCTCGAAATGGGCTGGCTTTTCCAGGTTGAAAGACGACCCCGAAAGTGCAATTAATCAGCTGACCCAAAAAACCACTCACAGTTCTCCAGTTTCCACTAGAGGAATTGATGTCGTCGACGTGCCGTGACCAAATGCATCGGGAATTATCTCGGCCGGGCGGGTAAGCCTCTTTGAAGATCCCGAGATCCCGCGAATGTGTGAAGTTGAGTCGGGAGACGCAGTTAAAGCCCGACCTGGCCTATTGAGTAACCAACTTCGGACAAGGAGTTTTGGGTTAGCAGGGGCTTCTGAATATGAATCTGAGTCTGAACACCGTTGACATAATCACGTCCGAGTGTCACGTTCAACTCTTCGCCGGCGACAAAGATGATGGCCGGAATCCCGTCTCGTCTCGTCTCGCTTTTTGGCTTTGTTGGCATCACGTTCTTGGGTCGGAGCCATGGGCCAGAGAACAAGTTTGCCGCTTTGTCGTGGCAATCGCTGTGCTCATTGTGGTCTCATTAGAAACATGTTACATGGAAACTGATTACGAAATTGCTCAACTGCCTCTGGCCGGGCGACTTTAACTGTTTTTCGTGATTATTTTCGATGAAATTAGGGAAAACATATTTTGATACGGTTACGGTGTGAACAAAAATCTCTTTCGAGCCGTTAGTGAAAAGCGTACTTCGGGGAAAAGCGGGTAAGTGACTCTCGAACTTTCTACCCAAGTCTGTGTTCTTGAAGCTCTTCAAAATATTCCGAATCCCTGATAACTTTTCGTTAGCTATCAAAAATGCGTGCCCCTCGCTGAGCTCGTAAATCGTTCTTAAATGGCATCGAGATCATTAACGAACTTAACCCCAATTAATACTTTAAGCCCCCAGCTGATAGTTTTGATGTCTCCCTTATCTTTTGACACATTCTGTTCTCACTTGATTTCGCCCTGTCTGTAATCTCTTAACTTGTTGACCTTCCCAGCTAAGC